GATGGATGGATGGATGGATGGATGGATGGATGGATGGATGGATGGATGGATGGATGGATGGATGAAAGGGCAAATAGGTGGAACAATCATTGGACAGATAGATGAGTGTTTTAGTTGAATCATTTTTCAGTTGTGTCCAATTCTTCATGACCCAATTTGGGATTTTCTTGGCAAAGATACAGGAGTGATTTATCAATTCCTTCTCCAGTTCATTTTATAGATGATGAAACTGAGGCAGAGAGCAATTAAGTGACTTGCCCAGGGTCACACAGTTAGTAAGTGTCTATGGCCAGATTTGAACTCATGAAGATGAGTCTTCCTGACTCCAGGCCCAGCACTCTATCCACTGTGGCACCACCTAGCTATCCCAAGATAGATAATAGATGGACAAAATAGGCAAATGGATAGCTAAACGGATACAGTGAATGAATGGCTCCCTACTCCGTTGTAAGTACTAAGCACCCAGAGATAAAAAATATGAGAAAACAATAGTCCCTCACCTCCAGGAGTGTACATTCTAATTCTAAATCTGTGGATGGATAAATGAATGGTTAGATGGATAGCAATATGGATGGACAGATGCATAGATAGGAAAATCAAGCAGATGGATGGATAGCACGAATGGAGAAATCAATGCATATGTAGTTAGATAGATGTATAGATGTATATAAGACAGAAAACAGGTAGATGGATGGATGGATGGATTGTTATATAAGAAGCAATGTTGCATAGGGCATAGACTTGAAGTCAGGAAGAGCCAAGTTCAAATCTGGTCTCAAACATATACTAGCTGCATGACCCTGGGCAAGGCACTTAATGCCTCTTGGCCTCAGTTTCCTCATCTGTATAACAGAAAAAATAATAGCAGCTACCTCACAGGGTTATGGTGAAGGTCAAAAAGAGGTAACAGTGAAGGGGTTGGCAAACCTTAAAGCTGCCCATGAGTGTGATTACTAAGCCAGTGGACAGATAGATGGAAAAGCAGGTGGGTGGTTAGATTCTTGTTGGACTCGATTTTCTCACCACCTACTTTCCTCAACTTGCAGTCTGCTTTTGACCCCCTACTTCTTTTTTTTTTCACATTAAATTAGCAAGCATGTCTTTATTTCCTCCCACTCTGCTTCGTCTCCCTCATTGTACAATAAAAAAAGAAAAGAAAACTTTCACAACAAACATACAGTTTAAAAAGATCCACATTGCCGTGTATCATTCTGCATGTTACATCTATCACTTTTTGAACCCCTACTTCTAGGCTGAACTTGCTCCCTCTAAGGTTACCAGTGGTCACTTTAATACTCAATCAACTAGGGGCTGCTAGGTGGCACAGTGGATGGAGTACCAGCCCTGAAGTCAGGAGGACCTGAGTTCAAATCTGGCCTCAGACCAAACACTTGACACTTACTAGCTGTGTGACCCTGGGCAAGTCACTTAACCTCAATTGCCTAAAAACAAACTAATTAATTAATCAATTAAAAAATAAATAAATACTCAATCAACCAGCCTTTCCTCTGTCTTCATCTTTCTTTACCTCTCTGCTCCTTTTTGAAGTTACTGACCACTAGTCCCCCACATTTTCTTTCCTCCGATGACTTCTGAGGGATCTCGGTCTTCTGGATCTCCACTTTCCTCTCTACCTGTTTCTTCTCTGTTTCTTTGGCTAGCTTGTGCTATTCCCATTTCCGCCATGTTGGGATTTCAGAAGGGGTCTGTTCTGGGCTCACTTCTCTTCTCTCTCTACAGACCTCAGCCTTAACAAGGCTGATATGATATCTTTCATATCAATACCTCCACTCATGGGGATAGAACGAGATGTAGGGCAACAGTACAGATAATCCAGAAGTAATTTCTCTGAGCATTTTCCTTCCTCACTGTGTGTTCCATGTTCCACTTGCCACTGAAGTGAGCTCATGCCATCTGACAGTGGAGGTGATGGGAAAATAAATGAGCTGAGAGGGCTCAGAGTGCAGGAGGGAATATCTGCATAAGACAAAAGTCTGGCAGATGCTGAGTGCGGCAGGAGAGGGTCTCCCAGGCACTTGGCCAAAGCCAGGGGGCCAGCATAGCCCCTGGAGTGGGGAGGTCCAAGGTCCCTGGAAGAAGTTTCTCCTTGACTTCCCCCTGAAGGTCCATGGGCAGGCACTGGGCACAAGCCCTGGAATGAGCCCTGCCTCAGGCTCTTGGAGCCAGCCCCTAAACAAGCCAATATCTGGTCTTCATGTGTTCTTCCCAGCCTGGAGAGCAATGGACTAGTAATTGCCAAGACTGCATCTGTGACAACAACTCACTCACAGTACAGTGTAGACCTGTTCAGTGCCTGGAGTCCACAACAGCCCCCAAGTGCCAAAAGGAGGGCTTTGTCATTGTCTACGAGCCCCAGACAGAGGATCCGTGCTGCATGGAGGCACGCTGTGGTAAGCCCAGCCATCCCATTCTGGGTCCTGCAGGGGAGCAGGATAGGATCAGAATGAAGCTCTCTGCAGAAGCCCCAGGACAAGAGGATGGGTCCAGCTGGACATATTCCAGAGCCCCACATCATGGCTGATCCACAGGCTCAGTGTTATGGGGGAGAGGAAAGGGGTGGGGGGCAGCCCAACCTTCTTAGAGCTGATGATCTGGGGGATCCAGGGAGAGACGGTGTGGTCAGCAGCATGGTAGGGGCACAGCATTAGGCTTCCAAGAAGTCCAAGAAGTCCAAGGAGGGGAAGCCATTTATAAAAGCGGCAGCTCACATTTGTCTGAATCCTTCCAACAACCATGGGAAAGAGATAGTGCTGTTCCATGGGTGATGGTGCTGAGGTCAGGTGAGGCCAGGTCCTTCAAGCCCCAACTCTGGTGCCTGCTGTCTGTCTGTGACCTGAGGCAAGTCCCTTCATCTCCCTGGGCCTCAGTTCCCTCCCCCACAAAATCAGGGGGCTGGACTAGATGGGCTCTAAGTCCTAGGATTCATATCCCTAACATCTCTATTTTGCAGAGAAGGTAACTGCGGCTTTCCAGACGAATGTAGACATGTTCCTTGAGGGCAGAAATTATTTGCTTCTTGTCTTTGTGTGCCTGGCACTGAGTCCAGGGTCTAGCCCACAGCAGGTGCTTAATAAATGATTGCTGAGCTATGGCTCTGAGGCCATCATTAAAAAGCAAACAATGGGGGTGGGAGGCTCAGCTCAGAATTTCAGGGAACAGCAGAAGCAAAGATAGGCATGTGCCAAAGCTCAAGTAGAATTCCAGAGACAATGAATAGACAAGTTTGGTTAAGGTGGGGCCAGATTATGGAAGGCTTAGAGTACCAGGCTGAGGAGTTTGAACTTTCCTCTACAGACAATCAACTGAGGAGCATTTATTAAGTGTAAATTGTGTTGCCGGCCCCATGCTCAGCAATTGGGGCACAAATCCCAAGGGGGGGACAGCCCTGCCTGTGGGAAGCTCCCATTCTTTGAGAAAGTTCCAACACATCATAGATAAGAAAGTGCAGGAACACTACAAGATGGGGAAGGAGAGGTCTGGAGAGGCCGGGAGAGGCCCCTGAACTGGACCTTCAAAGGAACTAGGAGCTTCTCAGGCTGAAGCGAGTGGGGAAAGCATTCTAGGCATGGTAGAGGAGGGGACAGGCTTTGAAGATTTCTGAGCAGGGGCCATGTCATGGTCAAACCCTTTGGCAGGTGAGTAGATGGACCAGAGCCAGGGTGACCAGGTGACCATTGAGGAAAGCAGCTACAGGGAGAGGGGGTGAGAACTTGACCTGAAATATAGCTGTGGAGATGACGAAGAGAAGATAGGGGCATGGTGAGGGAAGAATATACAGAATTGTGGAGGGAAGAGGGAAGGATTAAAGATGATTCCTGGGTTCTGAGCCTGGGGTGGGGGAGCATGGAGAAGGGTGGCAGCCCAGACAAAGGAAGGAGGACAGATTAGACCCTGGCATGTCTGAGGGGTTGTTGCTGCCCTCCGGGCAGCTGGGGGTGATGTGGACCTGGAGCTCGTAAGAGAAATAAGGGCTGGAGAGGAGACACTCAAGAGTGCTGGAATGGGGAGTTGGGGAAGGAGGAGAAGGGAGGGGAAAGGGTTGGAATTATTGGGATGGCCAAGGGTGATAAGAGTTAGGGAAGAGGAAATCTTGGTCCTTTGAGCATGAGCAGCTCTCTGTCCTGGTCCCAGAGAGGTCGAAGGTAAGAAAGAATGAGCCAGGAAGTCAAGTGCTCATTTGATGATTAGGGAAGCCTCAGGAAATTCTGGGCTTCCTTCCCCAGGAATGGCAGACTGTTCTCCATGGGAGAGCTCTAAGAGTCTGAGCACTGCGAATGGGGGGGGGGGGGCGTGGCTCTCCAATTAGCTCAGTCTGGAACCTGGAGACCTGGGTTCCAATCCCAGTTCCGCCTCTTGCCAGTTGCGTGACCCTCGTTAAATCACTTCCCTCCTGAGGTTGTCTGTTTCCTCCTCTGAAAACTGAGATAATATGAGTTATGCTACATTTCTCTCAGGGCTGTTGTGCAGTGACCCTATTGTCAATCTTAAAGCGCTTTTCTAGGCGAGTCCTGACCTATTTACCGGCTTGTGACCCTGGGAAAGTCATTTAATCCCTCTGTTTCAGTTTTTCCACCTGTAAATCTACCATGAAAACAACTCTCCTGCCCACTTCACAGGGAGAGAGGAGCCGTGGAGGTAGCTCCACACAAATGCAGCCCTTTCTCTGATGTTGGCGTTCCCTTTTAAGAGTCAGGTCGGGAAAAGGGAGGTACTGATATCTGCACAGAGAGCTGGGCTAGAGTAAAGTGTGCAGAGATTCCCTGAGAGCAAGGGGCTAACTTCCCAGAATTCCTGGGCTCTCCCTTCACCTGTGGCACATTCTCCCACCTCCTCAGTCTGCAACCAGTCCAGCTGCCCTCAAGATCGACCGAGCTGTAAGCCACAAGAAGAGGTGTTTAGCATCCTGCCTACAGACAGCTGCTGTCCTGTCTTTGGGTGCAGTGAGTACTGAGCTTTGGGGCCCCTTAGGGTCCTGGCTCTGGGCTGTCCTGTCCAGAATATTGTGCCACTTCTGTTGGGGGGACCCCAATCCTTCACCACCCTTCCCTGTCCCAGCTGAATGGGCATCATTGAGGGGTCTTTAAAACATGTTCTAAGCTCCCCTTCACATTTTCACCTTTAATGTTCTTGTGCCTTTCAGAAGAGAGAATGTGTGAGCAAAATGGGACCACCTATGGGGTGAGTGAGTCCTTCCCATCGGGGTCTCCAGGGCTTGGACCACAATAGTGCCATATTCCTCAGAGATCCCCATTTTTAGTGGGAGAGACATCCCCCCAACAACACCCAGGGCAGAAGCTCGTCAGGAGGCCATCCTCTGTGGACAGGCACATCATTAAGGGACCAACAGTAGGAGAGATAGACACAATAGATAAACATCACTAACCCCCCACTATGGGCCAGGGGGGCCTGGGAAGAGATGCAAAAGGGACAATCCCTGTCGGCAAAGAGGTTACGATCTAACCGGGGAGGCAGATGATATGCAAATAAGTCTACACAGAGCATGCTCTATACAGGATAAATAGGAAATAGTGCCAAGAGGAAAGCACTGACATGAAGGAGGTTGGCAAAGACTTCCTGTAGAAAGTAGGGTTTTAGTTGGGATTTAAAGGAAGCCAGAAGGCAGAGAGGAAGAGGAAGTGCATTCTAGGCATGGGGGAAAAACCCAGAGACAGAGACTGGGACAGAGAGAAGGGCAGAAAGAGGAATGAAGAAAGAGAAAGTGAGCAAGGGAAGAAGGAAAGGTAGGAGCAGAGAGGGAAGGAGAGAGAGAGACAGAGAGACAGAGAGACAGAGAGAGACAGAGACAGAGACAGAGACAGAGAGATACAGAGAGAGACAGAGAGAGTCAGAGATGTCAATGAAAAAAGAAGGTTCCAGGGGCTCTTTGGGAAAAGGTCCCCACATGTGCAGTTACCTTACCCAATAGTTGCATCCATAGAAAGAGGTTCAATGTTCATTAACTGCACTTTAAATGCACTGGAACATTCTCTATTAGAGAACCATGCCCCTAGACCAAGAGAATGAAGGTCCTCTCCTCTCATTCAACTGTTCTGCTGAGGATGACAGCCCCTGCATGAATGTGTGTGGTTGTGTGCAAGTACCAATGTGTGATTGCACATGAGTCTGTGCATTTATAGGTGTGCACATTTGGGTGTGAGTGTGTATATGTGCAATTATGTGTATGTGTGTGATTGTACAAAGTTCGTGCTTTTATAAGTGTATACATTTGCATGTGAGTGCATGTACATGTCTGTGATTATATATGCACATGCACTAGTCTGCGTGGTTGTACATGTTTGTGCACATTTGTGTATGAGTTGAGTGTGCACGCATGGCCAGGTGCACCTCCCAGGGGCTGCTGCCATCCCAGGCAGGTCTACTCAGGAGTTTGGGAAGCTTCCCACCGCTTGCCACCTTAAGCTTGCTTTTCTCTGGGCTGGAAATGCTGGTCGCTTCCAACAGTTTTGCCCTGCTGGGTCTTGATCCCTCCCTTCCCCTGGACAGGGACCCTGGGGGGTAGGGAGGGGCAGGAAAGGCTGGATGTTCCTCATTCCCTTGACTTTGTCCCCTCTTTCTCCCAGATTGGGTCAACAGTGCCATCAGAGCAGCCCTGCCACACCTGTACCTGTCGCGTCGAGGTGAACCCGGACACCAACAGCATGGTGTGGTGTGAGGCTGAGCAATGCTCCATTGCCTGTGCCCCGGTGAGAGTCCAGCCCCTGTCCTGTTTGGCCAATGACCCTTCTCTTGGCCTTTTCCAGTCCATGGAATGTGCCCTGTCTCCTCGAGGACCCCAAGTTTGGGGCAGCCAGAGCCTTAACTTGGTTTTTCCCAGTTCGTGTCTCCCTGAGGACCCTAAGCTTGGGGCAGCCAGGGCACCTCAGGTGCCCAGGTATGTCTCTGTGTCCCCTGCTGGGGCCCGGTGCCCAACAGCTCTCAGGAGGCAGGTATTCTTGGGTCAGCTGTCAACATTCTTGAGCTGACACCATCCAATTCTTTGCTATTTTACTGCCTCCTCCTTGAGAGTGAGAAGGGGTGCATGCACAGGACATTGTATTGGGAGTTAGGGAACATGGGATTGAGCCCCACTCCTGTTACTGACAACCCCCAAATCCCTTCCCCTCTGAGCCTCAGTTTCCTCAGCTGTAAAAGGAGTCATGGCCTGAGGCTCTCTGAGCTCTCTTCCAGGTCTGATGACTCTGTAAAGCTCAGTCCCTTTCTTCAGGGCATTCACAGTCTACAGAGGGGACTCAGGAGGAAATGTGGATGGCCCAGCAGGAACCTGGGGTGCCAGGCTGTAAAGATGGTGTGCCCCAGGATCTGAGTGAACAGAGAGCCCCATGGGGGCTGGGTTGCCAAGGGAAGAGGGTTGGACTTGGGCTGGGAGAGGCTCCCTGAACAAAAGTACGGAGCTGCAAGGAGCCTAGGGCTAGGGGGCAGTGAGAAGGGACGTGAGATGGGGGACCTCGAAGGCCAGACCAAGAGTTTGAGCTTTTTGCTGTCGATGGTGTCGATGCTGAAAGCCTGAGGAGAGGAGTGGGAACATGATCAGAGAGATCCCTTCCACATCTCGCGTAGGCAGTGGGGGAGTTGGGTTGGCGGGCAAGAGATGGGAGGGGGGCAATGACTGGAGACACCGGCCATGGTCCAGGCAGGGGAGAGGCGGGGAAGGTCTTGCCTCGAAGAGCAGTCATGGGGAAGGAGAGAAAAGGCAGCCAGGAACACTCACTCCCTTTCTTCTCTTCCTCTTACTATAGGACCAGGAGTACAAGGTCCTACCAGGGCAGTGCTGTGGGCAATGTGTGCCAGCAACCTGCATCACTCCAGATGGAAAGCGGATTAAGGTAAGAGACCCTGGAGGGCTTGACTGAGTAGATCAGAGCCAGGGCCAGGCAGGATCCTTGCCCCATGCCCATTAACTCCTAGGCTTTAAGGGGGGCAGGGGGCACCTTGGGAACCTAGCAGGCATGTGGACACTAACTTTCGGGGCCAGCCTCGGTAAGCTCCCCCAGGTCCCAGAGCATCTCAGGAGCAGGTGCTTAAGCTCTGCGCAGAGGCTGGCAGACCTGGGCATCTGGCTACCTTCTCGCTGGCATTTCAGTTCAATGAGACCTGGGTCGACACCAGTGCAGACAACTGTACAGAATACCGCTGTGAGAAAGTGGACAAGCAGACCATCGTGTCTCGGAGACCAACCGAGTGCCCAGACATGCCGGTGTGCAAGGTATCCGCTTCCCGCCCCCCAGGCTCATGACACACATTGGAAGCCTAGGGTACAACACAGGCTCTCATTCAGACCTGAGGCTCGCACACAGACCTCTTGGTGCTCCTCTGCCTGCTAACTCTGGCATCCTGCAAACCCGTCCTCCACATTGGCTGCTTTGCTTTTAATGCACCCAGCCGGCCCCACTCTGCTTAACTCAGCCCTAACGCCTTCCACTGCCCATGCTTTGCCTGCAGGGAGTCCTCAGGAAAGCCGGCTGCTGCTATGAATGCGAGGAGATTGAGGGTAAGTCAAGGAGGGGCATCTGTGAGGATGTCGGGTAGCCTGTGCCCTTCCCACACCCACCGCCCTCAGCAGACACAGGGAGTCAAATGTCTGGGCTGGCCCTTGTCACGAAGGTCCCCTTGGGCTCCTGGATGCCACAAACAGCCCCTGCCCCTTCCATCTCCTGTGGCCTCTTTGGTCACTGAGGTATCCCCCATGTTCCCAGCCCCAGATCTATCTGCGCAGGCGGCTGTGCTCATTCACTTATGACCAGCTCCAGAAAACCATGACCTCCTCACCCCCCAGCCCCCACTCCCAACCCAGCCCCGGCCCCTGCTGGTAGATGGAGGGATGGGATGGCAGACCTGGGGAAAAGGGGGCCCCGGAGACAAGGGAAGGGGCTTTGTACCAGGGCAGAATTTCCCTCTTCCTCTTTCTAGAAGATTGTCGGGTTCAGTCCAATGAAACGCTTCTCCAGTATGAGGGCTGTGTGTCAGAGACAGCCGTCAATCTCACCTTCTGTGCAGGGTCCTGCAACTCCATGTCCATGTGAGTGAGAAGCCGGCCCCACTATGTCTCTTTCCCACCCATCCACTTCCTCCTTCAGTGCCCAACTGCCCCCAATTCCTGGCCAAACCATCCAAAACCCTCCCCAGAGAGGTAATTCTGCCTGGAAATGTCTGGGTCTCAGCAAGGGTCTGCACTGGGCAAGAGCCTCACTCCTCATGGGGCAGCTCTAGCCACAGGTGAAAGGGGAACCCTCCTGCACAATGTGAATTAAGGGGCTACCCCAAAAGGCTTCCCTCCATCCCAGTGCCCTGCAGCCACAGTGACTCAAGCACCTGCCATTAGAACAGATTGAATGAGGCAACATTCTGGTGCTAGATAAATGCTGTGTGTGGTCATTATTACTACCATCATCATTGTGACTCTTCTGCCAAAGGCTGTAGTTAAAGGTAGGCATTATCCTAGGAAGGGGAGACCTACTAAGTCCTTGGTAGACACTGGCTCTTGAACACGAGCAAGCTTCTCAGAATCAGGGTCCCACCAAAGTGTTCACGCCTGGAGGGGGCAGTCAGGCACTACTGTGTAAGAAGTGAGGCTCAAAAAGGGAGATGGGACCCTTTTTGCTGCTCCCCCAGAGAACATCCAGGTGCAGCCCTAACAGAGGGTCAGAACTAGGTGGGCATCACTCATGAGGCAGAGATCCCACATATAAACAGGCCCCCAACAGTTCTTCAGGGTTCTTGTGAGGACCCAGAAATTTTCTGTGCCCACCATAACCACTGCCAGGTCAGGGACATCAGGCTGATACCCCACCCGCCCGAGCAAATCAAGATTGGCTCAGGGTCAGTGAGAGGAAAGGCTGAGCAGGTCATACCCAGCTGCCAGGGTCACTCAGAAGGTGGCATCAAGGTCTGCCCACTTTCAGCACCAGGCATGGTAAGTGTGCCCTGATGGTGCTCTCACAGAAGGCCTCATATAGACACAGCAGCTCTCGCCCTCAAGCACTTCCAGTCTGACCAGGGGTAAAGCCAAGATAGCCCATGACTAGGGATGGTGGGCGCCCTGGGAGAGGCTCCAAGAGGAAGAGCTGGGTGAGTATGGAGGAAGAAATCCTGTGTAGGCTCAGCAGAGGTGAACCCAGCAGAATATAGAGTTCTGACAGTCAGCAGAGAGAGAGGTCAGGAGGGAATTTCAGGCAAGCTCTATGTTCATGGAAAAGTTGGGAATACAGGATGAATGGGAAATGAAGCACCCAGAACCAATGAGGAAAACCCCATGGATGGGAAGAAAAAGTCTAGAGATCCTAGGGGACCATAATTAACATTGTCCTGGAGGAAGCTGCCCACACCAAAGCTTTCTCCCGCTTATTTGTAGCTATGCCTTCTTCTGAGAAGTCCAGGGTCTTTCCCATTTGGGGCAGAGACTGGGTGAGCACCAGGCAGGTCTTTGATAGAGAAGCCAGGCCTGGGTTGACCTTGATGCCACTTCTAAGCATCCGGCACTCCTGGCCCTGCCCAGTCTGGCTGGGGGGCTTTGGGCTAGCCCTTCCCCCCATCCCAAGTGAGGGGGTTGGACTCCATGGGTCTCACAAGCCCCGCTATGCTCTCAGGCTCCATGGGTACTGGGGAAGCACTGCACTGGGTGGTTCTAAGAGGGGCTCCATTCGCCAGGTATTCTCTGGAGGCTAATGAGATTCAGAGGAAATGTACCTGCTGCCAGGAGACTCAGACGCACCAGGAAGAGGTGAAGATGAAGTGTCCTGATGGCAGGGAGATACAGCGCATGTACACACATGTGGATGCCTGCAGCTGCACGTCTGCCTGCCTGCCCTCCCACTCTGATGTCGTCACCCGTTAGACAAGCCTCATGCCTCCAGGAGAGAACCCTCCAGCTTTCTTCTCAGAATCTTGGGAGGAGTCCTCACCATGCTGGAGGGGGATGGAGGGAGGACACTGAATCTGAATCAGAGCCCAGCATGGAAAGAGACTCTTTCCTAAGCCCAGGAAACTTTGCCTTCTTTGCCTCCTTGCTCTGCAACAGTCTCTCCAGCAGCCCCAGATTCTTCCTGAGCCCTCCATAGGTCAGAGGTCAGTAGGAAGGGAAGGCTTGAGAGTCCTGGGGTCCTTCCCTGACTGGCTAAGCACCTTGTGGAGAGGGTCTAGTGGATACAATGAGGCTCCAGGTTCTTGTCCCAAAGAGAGACTAGGGGCCCCTAAGCTAATAGCTAGAGACTGCAGGCTCCTTGAGAGCAGGGACTGTCTTTTGTCTCTCTTTGTATCCCCAGTGATTAGTACATTGCCTGGAATGTTGAAGGCACTTAATAAATGCTTGTTGGCTACCTAACAGGAGAGCTGCAAGTACTTAAAGACGATAAGAGTGGCCATGGACCTCCAGCCCCAGACTTACTCACCTTGCCAAAGTGAGACTGCTCACACTCCCTGGTGCTATCCAAGGTCCTTAGCAGCCTTGCCATTCATTGTTCCAGAAGGAATCCCATAGGACTAGACATGCTCAGTAAGATGCTAGCTTGCTCCCTCCCAGATTCTGGTGGGGGAAGGGGCTTTTCCTCTTCAGCAAATGTTTCTTTCCTCAAGTGGTGGGTAGCAGTGCTGCCTCCCTATTTCTGACTCCTTGGTCCTAACTCCATGCAGACAAGGGTGGAGTCAAGGGTAAGGAGTAGCATGCCGGAAGGCATAAAGGTAGAGAGGGGATTTATCTCCTCATCTGACAAGAGAAGAAACTGAGGCATGGGGGGAGGGGAGACAGATGCAGGCAACCTCCTTGGGCTCTTATGACTTACCTGTTCCTTAGGGATTCAATAATAAACCTTCCACATTCTGGGTCGTGTTGGGCTCTGCCTCTACTTGTGCGGCACCATCTCCAATATTCACACCTCCCAGGCTGGGGCTCTTGAGGAATCCCCAGCTCAGAGGGGAGAAAGGCATGGGTCTGAAGGCCAGAAGCCAAAGACTTTAATAGGTTTTGGAGGAGGGAGCAAGGAGCAGCCGCTCCACCCATTAGACAAGCCTAGTGGCTCTGGGAGAGAACCTTCCAGTCTTCTCAGAATCTTGGGAGGCAGGACCCTGGCCTGGGGGCAAGATCTGGGCTGGGCATGGGGGCAAGAAGATCCAATGATTTTTTAAAATCATAGATTCCCAATAGCATTCACATGGGACAGCCTTTCAGACGCTTGAATGCAGCTCTCATGCCCACCCCCACCCCACCCCTGAGCCTTCCTTTCTGATCCAGGCTCGATATGCTCAGACCCTTCAACTGATGCTCAGGGGACCTAATCTCAAGGCCCTTCCCCCTCCCTTTGCCTCTGAAGCTCTGAGGGCTCTCTGGCTCATTGGCATTCTTGCTGCATGAGAAGGTCCGACCTGAACACAGTCTTCCATAGTGCAGAGGTTGGGGCTCTGGCCCCTTTCTAGTCTCGCTGCCACCCGAGAGCTCATCGGCGGCCACTTCACACTGGGGCCCGTGTTGGGCTTGGACTCCACTCAAACCTTCAGATCTTTTTAATAAGCTGCTATCTGGCCACACCTCCCTTATCTATCTTACACTTTTTGATCAAAATATGCATTTTTCTTGCCCTTTATTTCATTAGGTTTGGGGCTCCAGTCTGCCAAAGTCCTTCTGGATCCCAACTCAGTCCTACAGAATCTTAGTAGGCCTTCTGTGCTCGACATTTTAGCAAGTGAAGGGGGAGGGCATTCCCAGCATGTGAATACAGCAGCAGCAGCAGGCAGGCACTACGTCCAGGGAACACTGTGAGGGGGAGGGGGACAGAAATGGCTAGAAAGAAAGGCTGTATTGCAAATGTGAGTGGCGTGGGGAGTTCAACCTAAAAGAATCTTCTTGGTCAGATGCACCCTTCAGGAAGATCCCTTTGGTGGCTGAGGGGAGGCCGCACTGGAGCAGGGAGAGGCTAATGCCGGGGTAACCAACTGGGAGGTTACTGCAATAGGCTGGATGAGAATCTGTAAGGACCCAAGCTAAGGGGTTGTGCTGAGGAGAGCAAATGGGGCTGATGCCAGCGACATTAAGGAAGAAGAAGGGACAACACCTGACAGCTGGTTAAATACGAGAGGCGAGGAGGGAAGATGGTGGACGACGACGTCCTGACAAACGCCAACTGTCAATGACTCTTCCCATCGGCCAATTCTCAGGAAGCGAGGGGGCACCACGGTGCCCTCAGTGGGAACAGTCAGGAAGACCTGAGTGCAAATTTGGCCTCAGACATACTAGCTGTGTGACCCTGGGCAAGTCACTTAACCTCAGTATCCTCATTTGTAAAATGGGATGACAATAACACCTACCTCTCAGGGCTTTTGTGAGAATAAAATGAGATAATGGATGTAAAGGGCTGGGCAAACCTCAAAATCTCCATATAAATTCTAGTTATTATTGTTATTATTAATGCTATTGAACACATCTAGAGGAAACTGTAAAACTGTTCTGTGAAAGACCCACCACAATTTTTTAAATTCAATTTTATGCTATTTTCACTTACATGTTCTCTCCTTCCCACTTCCCCCTCCCCACCACTGAGAAAGAAAATCAAAATCTGTTATAAATATACATAGTCAGTCAAACCCCTTCTTACATTCACCGTATCCAGAGAAGAAAAAGGAAAAGAAAGTCTGCTTCAGTCTGACCACCAGCTCTCTACCCAGAGGTGGAGAGCACGTTTCACTGAGTCCTTCAGATTTGTGGTTGGAAAACCACGACAGATTCATGTGGCGTAACCCCAGCTGCTGCCAGCAATCCTTTCCCACCTCCCTGATCGATTCGCTAGCCCATTCTTCACAGTGATTGTTCCAAACCTTTCCATCCCTCCTCAGATCATGTGAGGTTCTCCCTGCCTAGCCCCTCTCAGATGAGAACCTTGGCTCACACTGTGTCACTGAGCATCTGAGGCCACCCACTGAGAGCTCCCCCTACTTCCTTTCCTCTTCATCTCACATCAACCAGATGCCTCCTGTGTGTGTGTGTGTGTGTGTGTGTGTGTGTGTGTGTGTGGCAATTGGGGTTAAATGACTTGCCCAGGGTCACACAGCTAGTTAAGTGTCAAGTGTCTGAGGCTGGATTTGCACTCAGGTCCTTCTGACTCCAGGGCCGGAGCTCTATCCACTGTGCCACCTAGCTGCCCCCAAGGTCATTTTCCTAAGACATAGGTCTATGTCACCTTCCTACTCAGTCATCTCCAGTGGCTCCCTATTCCCTCTAAGATCAAATTGGAAGCCCTGCTCAGTTTAGAATTTAACACCCTTCATAATCTGGCCCTTCCTTACCTTTCCCACATCCTGATGCTTCATTACCCTCCATGCACTCTATAACCCACCTACACTGAACTACTCACAGTTCATTAGATACAATAGTCATATCCTACCTCCATACCTTTGCATGGACTGTGGCCCAAGCCTAGAATATTCTTCCCTCTCACCTCCACCTTATGGCTTCCTTAAAGACTCAGCTCAAATCCCACCAAGCCCAGGGGACCTTTCCTGCCCTGCCCCATGCTAACGCCTTCCCCTCTTTCAGTTTACCTCCCATCTACTGCGGATTTATCTGGTGTGTGCCCAGTTATTTCCATTGTTGACTCCCCCATTAGACTATGAGCTCATTGAGTGCAGGGCTGCTTGCCTGTGTCCCCACTGATTAGCATAGTGCCTCACACATAAGTGCTTCCCAAAAGTTTGCTAATTGACTGACTAATGGTAGCAACAAGGAGTCCAGAGTCTTGGGAGCACGAGGAAAGCCCAGAACCTATAGCCAAGGAGGAAACATTTCTGCCCTGTCAGTCAATAGCACAGTCTACCAGTGGTGAGGGGAGTGCAGTTTAGGCTGCAGTGAGAGGGACATGGTGTCCATGAACAAAGGAGATGACAGTTTATTGGACATCAACACATCATGTCAGGAAGTTCCCTGTAAGTGTAAGTTATGCCTCTGTTCCTTGAAATCCCTAACTGGGTAGTCAGATCATACCAGAGTAGAAGGGTCTGCCTCTGGAGGAGATAAGTTCCCCATCTTTGGAGGCTATGAGCAGTCACTTACAGGATGATATAGAGATAGAACTCTTGGGCAGTTACAGTTTGGCTTGGATGGCTGCCAAGGTCACTTTACAAATATGAGATTCAATTAGGTGAGTACCACCTCTTCCAAGAAGCCTTCCCTGACCCCCACTGTCAGCAATGACCTTCCCCCTAGATCTCACGCTGCCAGCCTTAAGACTATACCTCTTACTGTAAACACCATGTAATACTGAGTATTCTGGTGGTCTAGATGGCATGTGCCATCCCGAGGGCAGGGAAGGGTCCTTATCTGGTCTGTGACTCACCCAAAATCCCACACAGGATGCATAGTGCTTGCTGATGTAGTGATAGGAAGTGCCCAGGACTCACTGCAATGGAAGGAACCATGTCTCACAGTGTTGGGATCCTTTCAGTTGGGCAAGGCTATCAGGCTGCCTGAGTCTGGGACAATCCTCTCCTTCGCTGCAGGGTCCCTGGGTATCAAAGTGGTGTTTTGCTGCCCTCTGGTGGCCAGAAGCACTCTGCACCATGGACAGCACCCCAAATCTGAGGGCTCTAGCTCCAGGTATGCGAGATGTTCATCTAGGATGGCGGCCCCTCATATTCTAGGGTTGTGATTAGAGCCAGTAGGGACCCTGGGAATCTTTCAGGTCGATCCCCTCCTTTGACAGATGGGAAAAGAAAAGGGGGCTTCAAAGTCACCCAGTGAATGAAGGAGAGAGAGAAATGCCAAAGACCTGTTCTCATCCACCCATATAGAGGGCTTTATACTTGATATATCTGACCTGAACAAAGATTGCTCCCTGTGCACACCAGTCTAGAAGTCCCCCAGCCCCTGCCTCGAGGTCTCCAGGGAGAGAAAGCCCAGCACCTCCTGAGGCAGCCAGAGGTCAGAAACGTTTGTCATGAATAGAGTGTGGGTAACGTGCACCTGAGACCTGGTTCTGCCCTCTGGGGCCAGGCAGACAGAACAATGATGCCGCTGGCCCCAGCCCCATGCATTGTCTAGTGGGCATCTCTTGGTGTAAGACTTCATACCAGTCCCTCCAGAATGTCATCTTATTAGAGTAAACCCCACATTGCTGATGTCTCTGGTGCTCTAAAGTTTGCAGTGTTTGCAGATGTGATCTTACTGTATCCTCACAACAACTCTGTGAGGCAGTTGGTAGACAGAATATCCCCATTTCACAGATGAGGAGACTGAGGTTCAGAGAGCTAAGTGTCCCACAGTTACACAGCTGATGTTTCGAAGACAGGATTCTGCCGGTAAGAATTGTAGGGGAACTCTCTCCTCCTTCATCCCCCTCACTGCTCCTTACAGCACTGGTCTGGGGGTTGAGAGACCTCAGGTCTACTTCTGGCTCATTACTGGTTTACAATGTGTCTTTGGCCATATGTCTTTCTCTCTTAGGGCCACAATTTTCACCTTGATAATTTTTTTTAATCCCCAAACCAGGAATTCTAAGAGGTGGCAATTAGAGGGGGTGCAGCCCATGTGTGGGGACCAAAAGAGGCAGAGTTGGGACATGAAGTCCCATCTATGGGAGCCACCGAGGCAAGAGGGATCAGCCCAAACAGTGTATTCAGGGGAATGATGTGCCATGAGATAGGAAGGAAAGCTCAGGCCTAGCTGCAAAGGACTTGAAATGCCAAACCAAGGAATTGATCCCTGTCTCTAGAGATGATGTAGTAGAAAGAGCAGAGTCTAGAGTGAGAAGATGTGAGTTTGAAGGCTGCCTATCCATGTGACCTTAGGCAAGCCACCTCATCAATCACCACCAAGTATCAATGA